TTTTTTTGTTTTTTTTTAAAGGGGGCCCCCCCAACGGTTGTTTTTATTTTTTTTTTTTTTGGGAGGAGAAAAGGAAAATTTAATGGGAAACCCGGTTGGGTTTGGCAAAGGGGGGGGGAAAAAAATTTAATGGCCAATTCTTTTTTTTTTTTTAAATGGGGGGCGAAAAAAATCCAATGGTTTATTCTTTAATTTTTTTTTTGGGGGGGGAAAAAAATTTATTTTCCCAGGTCCCACCAAGGGAACAAAAAAGGGGGGGGGGGAAAGGGGGGGGGGGGTTTTTTGTTTTTTTTTCGGTTTAAAAAAAGGGGAGGGGGGGTTTGTTTTTTGGGGGGGGCGGTTTTTTCCTGGGGGGCAATCAAAGGGGTTTTCCCAACCCCCCGGGTGGTTTGGGATTTTTTCGGGGGATTAAAATTTATCCAATTCCCTTTTTTTTGGGGGAAAATTTTTTTTTTTTTTTAAGAAAATTTTGGAAAGGGGATTGGGGTTATTAATTAAGAAAACCCCCCCCCCCCCCCCCCCCACCGCCCCCGCGTGTGTGTGCGCCCATTTTGGGTCTGTGGTACGCACGGTTTGCTTTAACCCTCACGTGACTACAGGCCGATTCAGCTCCGTTCTCAGCTCCGATCACTTTGCGTGCCGATAGATCGCCGTTGTGCCTCGGCTAAGTTTAGCAAAAAACTACATAGAGACCAGCAGGGAGACACAGGCAGACCACCCCAAAAGCACGCTCATCAGCAATGCGCACAGGACTCACATAGTACAACGCTATTCACCCATGCCTCATCTCTCTGACGTGGGGCAGATATCCTTTCCAGATCCAATCTACTGCCTACCAGCTGTCAAGATTCAAACGCACAATACCACCGGAGGGTACATACAGCACCCTGAACATGTGATCAACCCGGTGCCGCATCCGCGGGGGAGAGCAGAGAAAGCGCACACCGGAGCCGATGCTAACGTACTGCCTAGGTGCTTGATGTTGTTGTGGTTGTGGTGCGTGTGGTTCCCAGTATTGGTAGTGAAGGGTGGTTCGTCTGCTGTGTGCAAAATTTCGCTCAAAGGCAAGGGTTTTCGGGACTACAGCTCCGATCACAGCTCCAATCACAGCTCCCTATTTGTAGTACAGAATAGTAAAATTTATCACGATTTTTATGCATTTTGTGCGATAGTGGATGATGGTCTCGATTCTCTGATGAGCGGGCCATTTTTTTCGTCGATCTGGCGCGTCTGTGAGGCGGTTTCCCGTCAGCGTCTTCGCATTTAGCGCCGCTAGCATATGCGCTTGCCGTATGCTCTGTCCAAGGATGAGGTGGAGAAGATGTGCCAACAGGTACATATTGCTTGCACAGGTTCATCCTCTGTGCGGATGGTTGCTGTCGGAGACAGGCATGCACACCTACCTGCTCAGAAACTACTGCTGCTGTACAGTCTATTTGTCTCCGCATAACTGCTACTGCTGTACAGAAGTAGTACTACTGTACTCCTGTTCGTCACCCTTACATGTACCGCGTCCCCATCCCTGTGAGCCCCACACATGGACCCAATGCTGCACTATCCTTGCCGCGGTGATTTATGGGTGTACACTGTACACGCATGCTTGGAAGATCTTTGACCGCAGAGAGCCAGTTGTGGGGAAAAAAACAAAAAAAGTAAATTAACCCAGTCACGTAAGGGTTAACGTGTGTGGACGCGGTGCTTGTTGCACATGGCATGACTGCCAATATCGCGTTTGTGGTGGGTGTTTGAAGATTTCCCGTCTATGACCAACCCGCTCAAGACTGCCTGTCTTTGCGCAGCAGCTGTTGAGTTCGGTACTGACACTTTCTATTTTGGAACATATTCTGATTCTTGCGGACCCTTGCCTGCTCCAGTCCACTCCTGTGCCTTTTTACGCGTAGGGACGGAAAGAGACAAGTCTCTGGATACCACAGAAAACTGTATGTAGTGGAGACCACATAAAACTGTATGTAGTGGAGACCATACAAAACTGTATGTAGTGGAGACCATAAAAACTGTATGTAGTGGAGACCACAGAAAACTGTATGTAGTGGAGACCATAAAAAACTGTATGTAGTGGAGACCATAAAAAACTGTATGTAGTGGAGACCACAGAAAACTGTATGTAGTGGAGACCACAAAAAACTGTATGTAGTGGAGACCATAAAAAACTGTATGTAGTGGAGACCATAAAAAACTGTATGTAGTGGAGACCACAAAAAAATTCACACAATGAAGTTAACGCCACCGCTTGCTGTGAAAACCTGTTCGGGGTGCCCCCGTGTTGCAGGCATGGGGGGAAGGAGAATAGCGGCAGCAACGGCGGCAGTGGCAGCGGCACCGCGACAGTGGTAGAGGAGATGCTGCACGCCGTCTCTCAGCACTTGGTGCGGAACCTCAGCAACCAGAGCGACATACAAGGCTTGGAGGGGATGGCTCTGGCTATAAGGCACGCTACGCGATTGGAGTACCGTTTCTGCTCTCCTTGTTTTTTTTTGCATTTTCGTTCTTTCCTGTTTTCCTCTTTTTTTCCCTCTTTTGTGAGTATTTGTCTTCTTCTCCTTGAAGCACACTTGATGTTGTTCGTTCAAAACGTCTCGAAATGGCGCGTGTTCATCAGATGGAGTAACTAGCTCGAGACGACCCAACAACTGCCCTCCCACCCACGCCCGCGTGCCCCACACAAATTAGGCTCGGGCGCATCGGGTCTCCATCGTCCTCGGCGTCCCCCGGAGAGGGAAAACGGCTCCCCCCCCCCCCTTCCTTGACGAACGCCCTCGCTAGGGACAAGGATTCCCAAAACAATGCTTTATCACCGCCATCATCGTCTAGGGGAGGAGCTGCCCCCACTCCCAGGCCTAGCGGGGCCAACAATAGTAACAGCAGGGGGGGAGGGGGGGGGGGCAGCGGCACGCGGTCGTCGTCGTTGGAGCTGCTGCACGAGACGGAACAGCCCCGTAAGTTGCGGTTCGGCGTAACGTCTGACGTTTGGCGTGTATCGTATGACGTATGACGTGTAACGTGCAACGTGTGACGTGTAATGTCTGACATGTTTGAGGGAAGATGCCGTTGTGGTTCATGAGCTGCTACGGCGTGACTCACTTAAATGAGCGACGTGTTGCGCTGCGATATGATTTGTGTTGCTGCCGTCGCCGTCATCATTTGTCGTCGTTATTTTTATTGTCGTTCCTGAAAAGCTCTGGACGATGCGGAGCTGCTGCTCTGGGCCCTGCAGTGCGTGGTCGACTTGGCGGCCTCGGTAGGATCGCTTGTCGACGACGAATTCGGTACCTCTGACACGGGACTAGTCGTGCCGAGGTAAGCCGTAGGTCCTTGGAAGTCGTGGGTCATTGTCGTTGCTTGGGGGGGGGGGGGGGGGCGTACTCTTGCTTGTTGGACAACACGGGTTAGAGTT